TCTGAAAAGCCTTCCCATAATCCATCTGAGCTGTCATAGCAAGCTTGTCGTCCAAATGATTCATCATTTTGATTGTCAAGTTGTTGCATATGTTGTCTTTATCGTGTTTAAATCGTAAGCTTCATATCCCAGTGGTTGTTATTATCATTTTTTAAATTTGTTATTATCATTATTATTTTCAAATAGGATGTTGGGATATATGAATAATCAGAGAATTGATCAAATTTGGATATTAGAATAATAAAAGGATGATAAATCAACAAGATTGTTAGATAATACTTTTAGCGTTTTTATTTTTTATTTTTTAGCGTTTTTATTTTTATTTTGCGTTTTCCAGTTTATTTTTTCGCGTTTTAGTATTTAATTTAATTTTTTGTGTTTTAGTATTTAATTTATTTTTACATGTTTTAATATTTTAAGTTATATAATATTTTAGATAAACAGGTTTTTGTCTACTTCGTATCGGTCTAGGAGTCGGTATTACAATATTTTTATCATTAGTTTTATTTTTGTCCTCACTTCCGTCCTTCTTAGTAGAGTCATGGTATGCAAATGTGTTATAGCATTCTCTCTTTCTTAATTGGTCCAGGTGTTTCCTTGTAATACCTTTTTCTGTATAGACTTGGAACATAGTGTCGCTTTCCTTCAAATTAATTGTCCCTTTGTCCCACGTGTCAATCGTTTGTACTTTATACCAAACAAAATCTCCTACATTAAAGGTTCTATTTTGTGGTAAAGTAACGTTTATTTTATTCTCCTTCTCCTCCAACGGTCTCAATAAGTCCCATTTACCTCTAATATCATGGTTAAACATTCTCTTAGACGGTGTAACTCCTGTAGTGTCATTACGCGTATTTCTGTAATTAAATAAAAATTTGTCAAGTGCGATATCTAAGTCAATTTTGATATTCCTAATCATATGTGTTTTGCGTTCTTACCATGCGTTCTACCTAGCCATTGGATTGCTGATGATAACCAGATGTGAGCACATGTTTGATACCATAATCACTGCAAAATTTTTTAAAATCACTACTTGCGAAGTTAGTGCCGTTATCGGTAACTATAGTTTCGGGTATTCCATATAACAAAATAGTTTTAAAAATTTCTTTTAATGTAACATCAGTCGTAATATTTTTAACAGGAACAATGATTGGAAACTCACTGTAAGCATCGACTATTGTCAACCAATTTCTTGTGAAGAACGGACCCACATAGTCTATGTGTGCCCTTTCAAATGGTATGATTTTGTTGCTTTTGTAAAGACAATCCTTAATTATACTTAATTCCAATTCAATGTTTTTATAGATATCATTCTTCATAGGCCTGTTGTTCTTAATATCATTTATGACTTGTTTTAATTCAATATCTTTCAAAGTTTCATCACGAATTTGATTGAAATTGATAGGTAAATCCCCATAGTCATTTATTATAGTGATATTTTCAACAACTTTATCATGACATTCTTGTGGCAATATCGAGAGGCAGTCAGGAACAACATTGTATTTATCTGCTTTGTACATTATGTTAAAGTCGTAACCCCCCAAAGTGATATTCCACTTTTGTAACCTTAAGGACATGGTACTATTGTCCTTGAGTCCCTTAGTAAAAGTAGACTAATTGTTTATGGTCCATGATGATAGTAAATTTAGTCCCAACCAAATATACTTGAAATCTTTTAATTGCGAACATTATGGCAAGAGCCTCACGCTCAATATTTGTGTAATTTATTTCAGATTTTGCTAAGGTTCTAGACGCAAAAGCAATGGGTTTTTCTTTGCCATCTTTCTCTGTGTGAAATAGTACAACAGCCCCTAATCCAGATTTAGATGCATTAGTCGCAATCCCAATAGGTAATTTCGGATTAAAATACGTCAGTGCTGGCGGGAGACTAATTAACTTCTTTAAATCATTAAAACTTCTGGAATGTTCTAAGTTCCATTCCCATCTTTCTTTGTTGACCATTTTATACAACGGATCAGCAATATCAGCGAAGTTATTCAAAAATTTTCTATAATAACCAGCCATTCCCAGAAATGTTGACAATTCAGCAGCTGATTTTAGTTCTGGCATATTAATTATTGCTTCAATTTTATCATGGTTAGCATGGATCCCCTTGTCATCTATATCGTGACCCAGGAACCTAACTTTATTTTTAAAAAATAAACTTTTGGCGAAGTTAGGTACTAACCCGTACGATAATATTCTCTCAAATACCTTTTTGATGTTGTTTAAATGTGCTTCATCGTTATTTCCAGTTATTAATAAGTCATCAATATAAAATATGACATCTTTCATATCACCGAAAATTTGATCCATGATTTTTTGGAATATAGCAGATGAAGTTTTCAACCCAAAAGGAAGTCTGGTAAATTGGTAGTATCCCTTATGTGTAGATATAGTCAAAAATTTTCTGCTATTTTTATCGATCGGAACTTGTAGAAAAGCATTTTTGAAATCGAGTTTGGTAAATTTTTTTCCTTCTGAAAGTTTAGCTATAAGATCATTTATACGTGGAATTGGGTATAAAATTTGCGCAAAGCCTGATGCTCCCATCATCTTTGTATACGGCGGTTATAGGACTTGCCCATCGCACATCATTTACAGGCTCAATAATTTTTTCGTGTATCCATCTATTTAGTTCTTCGCCCACAAGATCAATCTTTGAATAGGGTATACGTCTTATGGTATTATTTTAGGTTGGGCGTCACATCTCAAATGTAATTTGACATTTACTTTGTTAATTGGTTCGCTAGTCAATTTGGATTCACATTAATAAGTTTATTGATTTCGTCTAATGTGTAGTTAATATTTTTATTAAATTTATTTTTTATATTGTCATTTAAACTAGATGTTCTCAATTTTTCTTTTATGCGATCATCATTAATAAAATTACATTGTCTACTCAACTTATAAAAAACCAATCCAAAAAAGATTTCTTAACACCTTGTGAAACAAGGTTAAACTTCACAGTCAATATCCAAACATCTTGACTGGGTAATAAAAATTTTAATTTTTTATTAATAATTTTATAATCTTTGATATCTTCCTTAGTACATAATGACTTAATTTTATCGTATAGGTCATCAGATAAATTGCTCATCAATGTTTCAATTTTTACTGAGTCGGATAAAATTGTTTGAGAGAAATAACCGTCAAGTCTCTCCAAATATATGTCCGTCAAGCATCCCTCCAACTTTGGGAACTTAACTTCCCTGTTGGAGGATATGCTAATTTTATCATCCATATTGCAGATTTTTATTTTAAAAACTTTATTTAAATTAGCAAAGATAAATATTGTCACTATTATGTATTCAATTTTATTTTTATCCAAATTGCAAATTTTTATTTTAAAACTTTATTTACATTAGCATAAAGATATATATTGTCGTTGTGAAGTCACATTAATTTTTTTTTTACCTTGTGTGTGTCCTTTATATCGAATAATTTTTATAATTTATTACATAATTCCAAAAAAAAATTTTTTATTTTTTTTATTTATCGGCATATGCACAATATATATGAGACTTTTTTATATATCATTGTGCGTGAGTTATCATTTAAAGCGGGGCACCATGTTATATAATGATAACGGTGGTGAAAGAAAACGGTGGTAATTTTTTATTTATAACAAATTTATTCCAAAACTAAAAATGATACTAAAAATAAATATAAAATAAGGTATATATATATATATGTATTATAAAAAAAACAATTTAAACGAAATACATAGTTAAAGGCTATAAAAACAATTTAAGTTAAATAAAAATCTCGATTAACAGGAATAATCTTATGTATAAAGATTAGTATTCTTCATCTACAAACTAAGCCCATGAGCATTGAATCAGGCTTTAGTCTGAACCGCGTAGTTCGGTAAAAATTAAAAGAAACTTTTGGCTGCTAACAGTAATATATTTTATAAAAATATATAAATAATTCATAAAAAATATAATAAATATATAAAAATGAACACATTTGCGGCTTATATTTTAAAAATTATTTTCGCTGTGAAGAGTCGGCCTTGATTTCGACCGAATGCTTAAACAAAACGCGACTACAAATTCCAACGCAACTCAAACATTTATAAACAAATGCCTAAGAAGAATCATCAAAACATATTACCCATACAACACCTCAAATTCAACGCTCTGGAATAGATGCGACATTCTACCAATCAATCGACTCATTCCCATGAGGAGATTAGAATTACTAGGCCACAGATTAAGACACTCGCAGGAAATAGTCTCGTCCATGAAATGGTTCCTGACGGTAGGATGAAAAGTACCCCTAAATACTATTGGTTGGCGAAATGTTTGAAATATATGGACATGCAACCTCTCGTTTGCAGATTTCATGGCACTCAGCAAGAACAACAAACACCTAAAGAACATCTAAAATACATGCTAAAATATGGCCTAAATTAAAATAGGAACCGTTTCTGTTCTTTTTCTTTTCTTGCAATGGCTAGAACAAAGCATGTTTGATGATGATAATAATCTGGACAACGCAACTTTCCTCATATGAACCCACGACTTTTTCATCTGGACACACGATATCGGCGACAATAACGACAACAGCTACAACAACAAATAGAATAATGGATAATAATAACGCAATAACACCGACGAACCCAAATATCTTTTGCACAGCGCGTACAAGGTCTACAGGACACGCGATATCGACACACCGAACAACAAACAAAGAAGGGACTCATCATGCAAACTTAACTTTAACTCTCAATACTCACCAAGATATAAGAGTTATTATTGTTTTTTTTGTTGCCTCACTGAATAACCATATCAGGATTCAGGTACATTATTACATGACATTATATTTCTTAACACTATTCTGCCGGTAACGGAACTAATACATCACCACTTTCGTACTTCTCCCTTCTTCACTTTGCTAGCTTGCTACATATAGTGGTACCGTCCACTATAATAAAACGGATATACATCATGTATAGGATCTATATACTAGTGAATATACTTGGTGTACGCCTAACTCCTGGTGGGTTATGTGGTAATGAATAAATGAATGAATTCTCCATATGGAAAAAATTAAGCATGTTATTTTAGTTTTATCAGGGAAGGGAGGTGTTGGTAAAAGCACCGTTGCTTTGCAATTAGCCCTCACTTTAAATAAAAATCAATACAAGGTATGGTATATGTAATTAATTTTTTAAATAATTTATTTTAGGTAGGAATACTAGATATTGATTTATGTGGACCCAGCATACCAAGGATGATGAACCTAAGTGACAAAACTATATATCAATGTTCACAGGGGTATTTTGTATAATAAAATTAGGTGTTATGATATTTTAGATGGGTACCTGTGTATGTAGATGATCAAAAAACATTATGTGTAATGTCAATGGCTTTTCTACTTCCAAGTGATAAAGACCCTGTTATATGGAGGGGTCCTAAAAAGAATGGTATTCTTATTAATAAACTTTTTATATGCCAATTATAGAATACTATGGCTAAATTTAAACAAATATTGTTAATTATCTAATTATTATTTAAAAATTCAGATATATTTGTAATTAAATTTTTTCCTTATTGTTTTTTTTAAATGATAAAAATATTAATATTGTAAAAGCTATGATCAAACAATTTATCAACAATGTTTATTGGGAAGAATTAGATTATTTAATAATTGATACACCACCTGGTACCTCGGATGAACATATATCTGTGATTGAAAATATTGCACCCTATAATCCGGAAGGTGCCATTCTTATAACAACACCTCAAGTAAATTTAAAAAAATATATAAAAAATATTTGACTAATATTTTCTGATTAGATTTCAATACACAATTGATTATAACCTTATGTTAGAGTTAGGGTTGTTAAAGTGCCCAATTCGAGTGAATTTTTAAAATGGACTTATGATTTTAGCTAGAATTTATTTATATAAGCCTCAAGATTTGGCAAATAAAGGTATAAACCCTTCTGCCATCTATGAACAAAGTCTCCATAATATTATTCTGGCTAAAATCTTGAACAGATTTTAAAATTTGATGCAAATCAGGCTTAACAACCCTAGTTAGAGGGTTCTACTTAAAAGTAGCCTGGTATTTTAAATCCTTAATTTTTTAAAAGTTCAAGATTATCTAAAAGTCAAATCATATAATTTTACTAATTTGAGTTTTTTTATTGATATATTTATTTATTAGAATGGGAGGGGAGGGGAATAGAGGTCCTAACCATTTCATATTTAAAACTACAGGCCTATATCTAATTTTATTTATCTTCTATTATTCTTGGTGTTTAAACCAATTATCAATGCAGTATATTATATATATATATTGTGCCTCTTAATACCCTCTAAACTGGGTTGACAAAATTCATTATTTTTTTGAAATATCTAAATTATTTTTAAATCTATAAAAGTTTGTGGTTATATATAGCATAATCCACAAATTTTTCACAATTTTTATCCGATATTCATACAAAACCAATCCATAAACTATACTGACATCTGAGAATGTGTTTCTGATAAAATCAGATTATTTTCCAGAATTCCATAAAATCATCAGTTATAATATGTATCAAGTGTGACATGATTAATCATGTCTCCTTCAAATTTACTGTCTTTTCATGTCAGATCTCCCAATCAATTTAACCAGGACTTGTTGCTAAGTCATAAATTTATTTAAACACCTACATTTATATCCTGAATCTAGCATCTTATAGAATAAAAGTTTCAACTTTTATTAAAAAAATTTTTATATTATATTCATTTTTATATAATATTTTAGCTTATATCTGTGAACGATGTAAGAAGGGAAATCACATTTTGTAGAAAATTAAAAATTCCAATTCTAGGTCTCTTTGAAAATATGTCTGGATATATTTGTCCCCATTGTAAAGTAATATATAATATTTTGTAAATGCATTCCTTATAATAAAAATAATTTTCATATTTCATAGGAATGCTCAGATATATTTTCACAAGGTGGAGGGCAGAAATTAGCTGAATATGCAAATATACCGTTTTTAGGTGAATATTAATTTTTATTGATAGTTTATTTTTTAAATTTATATAGGATCGATTCCCTTAGACCCCAATATAGCTTTATGCTCTGAAAGTGGCGAAAATTTTATTGAAAAATTTAGGGAATCTTCATCTTTAAATTGTATATTTGAATTTATATCAAAATTAAATAAATCTGAATTAAATTAAAAAAATGTAATTATATATTATTTATATAAAGAGCAGAATATATGAATCAATTTATTTTATACTAAATTTTAAACTGTTTAATGACATTAATTATGTTTATTACAAGGAGAGAAACTATTTTTTGTCATGACACATACACATACTATATGAACCGAGAAAATTTTAAATAAGTAATAATACTACAATCCGAATGTCATTTTAATAATATATTTGAGTGATCTAAAGGATTCACATTGCTTAGCATAAAGTTGCTTGAACTTGTGCCACCCAAATGATAAATATCTTCTCATTTTTATACATTTTTAGGTTTTTGCTGTTCAAATATACATTATATGCCAAAATTGGCAGAATGATTTGAAACACAAATTTTTAAATTATGCCAAAATTTAGTGCCTTATTTATGCATTCATATCTTCTTAGCCAGATATAAGTCGATTCAAGAAAAACAAGTTGACACCTTGCAAAATTGTAAAAATTATGTAATTTGTTCAAATATTTAATGCCTAATTTCTGCAATAATATTCTTTAAATCACAAACTACCAATAAGTAAATTATGAAATTGGTCACCTTTTTCCAAAATTTAAAATACGGGTCCCAAATTTTGAAACATGTTAGTAAAGTGCCTTAATTTGCACTTTACAAAAATTAATTTTCAAAAATCGACTCTTTTAAAAAGATACATGTGCCACATCTGAAATGCAAGAAATAATCGATATCGATAATGAACCCATTGGTTTGATTGGATTTTTTAAAAATGTACTCCTCGATCAAGCGAAGATTTCGTTGATGAACGTTTTCAGCAGTTAGGCCATGTCCTAGTTCTATTTATTACTAAACATCCGACTGTTTAGCCCTCTATTTAGCCTCAAATAAACAGCCTGAAAAATAAAAATAACAATGTCACTAAACGCAAAGCAACTCGAAATATTGGTTAAACAGCATTAAGTATAAAAATTTAATTGAAACAAGAGACATCCTTAAAATTTTTCAAGGATCCATTTGGGTTTGCATTTATTCGATATACTTGTATTGATAATGCGCCTTAAATAAAACTAAATGAATATCATAGTTGATTAAATATTATTAACGGATCAATATTCGTTTAGAAAGCGATATTAATGTACTAGAGTTATTGACTGAAATAAAAATTTTAATTGTGTAAGCAGACCATAAATGTCCTTTAGAAATCTTATGCTATATTTACAATAATAGGTTAAATAAAGCTCTGCCATATATAATATATACATTGTTTTTAGGATTATTCTAACTATTCCAATTATAGTCTCATCGGCTGAACCTAACTGCTCCAAAGCTCAAACAATTAGGATTACTTAAGGTCCTGCATGGCGCAAAACCGCCTCGTAAATATATTCCTTATTTCAATCGAAGATAACATTGCATCGTCGATAGATTGCACTGACCTATATTAACCTTTTTATATGCGTTATTCATATTTATGAATTTTTTAAACCATATTTAGTTTTTGTCAGGATACGAAATATTTTCAAACGAATTTATATAAGGGCTGCCGAATCATTTTTTGCCCTGGACCGCCAGAGTTTCGGCAAGACGCTGCTGATTATTAAGTATAATAGTAATTTTAACATTATAAATAAATGTCGATATTACTAATAATAAAAAATTTAACTGGATGGATTTCCTAGCAGTGAAATTATAAATGGCGCCTACTAAATTTAGATAATATTTTATTTATAATTAATCATTTCCACCTTACCCTAAATCATGCCCTATCCCTTACCGAATGTAAGCTAATCACGCAATACTTAGCATGAATTGGTGTCGACTGAGATATTTATCAAGGACTGGTTTGGAGAAGGTAAGCAGCCATTTAACAATTGCGGACTCTTAAGCTTATACCATACATGGTTTTGGTGAAAAGCAAAACTAATAGGATAAATTAACACCAAATCATATCAATTTAACCCTAAGTTAATAACTGGAATTTTTTTCAGCAATAAAAAAATATTACCCCTATCATTTTGTATGTTAAATATTTTTTATAGCAAATATTTTCGAAATTCCCCTGAAAATTTCTGCTAGGGATTAATTTGTAAAATTATCCATAAAGGACATATAAACCCAATGCTGTTTCGTTTAGCCACTTAATTTTACAAAAATTAAAAAGAGGGTGCACAAATTTGATTATAATAGAAAGGTGGTTCATATAAAGCGAAACAGCACATTGAGAGCAGAGACATGTAAACGGCTGGCCCGTACCTTTCGGGCCGAGTCTATTTAAAAAAATAATTCCGGTTCGGGCTGGGTTTGGTCTAACATTTTTTAAAAAAATTTCGGGCCAGATGGGCTTAGATTTTTAAATATATTACATTTTGTCAAATTGATATATTTTAAAATTTTTGCAAGAAACAAGACGCTTATTTTTTTATTTGTAGAATATTTTTTTTACAATAAAAAAAAATTAAATTATTCTGTATTTGAATAAATTCGGGCTGGGCGGACAAATAATTTTTATTTCGGGTTGGGCTTTTCGGGACAAATAAAAAAAAATTTCTTTCGGGAACGGGCCTGACAAATTTTTTAACGTGAAAAATGATCTGAGAATTTTAATTTAATTTATTACTTAATAAAATTATAAATATAGTATTTAAAATGGCTCATTCATAAATAAATATACCTTTTTCTTTCCTTGATTCCAGTTCGTTACACATTACAATATTATGTAATTTTAAGATTATTAAACTTTTTTTTCCAAATTTAAACCATTACAAAATTAATATTATAATAGAAAATATGTTTTAAATTTCAATGGTTAATTATTTACCAAGTTACTGTTGCTAGGTTTTATTTGACACTTAAATTTACCCAAAATAATAGATAATTTTTTTGAGAATGTCTTAATTATTTCTATTAACTAGCTGATAGTCCGTCAAGAATGACGGGGAATCAGAAATTTTCCTATTTTATGAGGTGTTATTCAAAAATTTTCCATTATTTTTATAAAATATTGAAGTATATATTTGATAATTTTAATTTATGTGCACTATCAAAAATCTAGTAATTTATAATCAAAAAAATATATATTCTTGCTAGAGATTAACATATTTTAAAAAAGTATGGAAAATTTTAGAATAATCCCTTATCTAAATAATATAAATTTTCGCAAGACATTAACATATTTATAAAAGTTATGGAAAATTTTAGAAAAACACCTTATCTAAATAAAAATTTCCATATAACACCTCATAAGATAGGAAAATTTCTGATTAATCCTTCATCAACTAAAATCATTATTCACCCATCATTGAATAAAGAAAATTCTGATTCGCTGTCATTCTTGACGGGCTATCAGCTAGTAACTTATATTCTTGATAACGGGTTCTTAAAAAATCCCTAGAATATATGTAAATTTAAGGCAAGGTCACAACCGGCTATTTTTTTTGTTATTTATGCCAAAATAAAAATGGATTAATATTTCCTCCATACATACACTTAACAATGGCTTTCTTTATTTCCTAGTGTCCAACAATTTCTTGAATCCAGCAATTTTTTTGCAAAGGCATCTGTGGTTTGCCCATTCCTTTAATTCAAATAAAGTCAGATGAGAAATGATATAATTCAGTTAATGAAATTAGAGACCTTCACGGTAGCCCAGGTCAGCAATAAAAATCCAGGCTAAGTTCATATTTAAAAAAAATTCAAACCCAAGCCCATTATAAGTTTCAAAAATTTTTCTTAATCCCAAATCCGAAAATTTAATATATTGTTTTAAATGAAAAACTAAAAATTATGCCAAAGTGTGGTGCGTTAATTGATCCTCCAGAATCTTTAAACTGCATATCAACGGAATGAACCGTTCGAGATTTATAAGCAAAACAAAAAAGTATTGGCACTTTGCCAAAACCGAAAATAAAAAGGATCATGTTTTGAAACTTGGCAATTATGTAGTATTCAATACGTACATTAACAATCACCAAACCGGATATCGATATCACTAACCAATACCGAGTTATAACCGTTTTAAAAACGTTAAGTTTGCGGAAATATTTAAACTGTAGGAACGATTTGGGGATCAATTACCGAAACTTATATCATTGTATAGCCCGTTAATTGATCTTCTATCCGGAAAGCAGCGGAATGAATCGTTACTGAGTTATGAGCAAAATAAGAAAGTGTTGGCACTTAGCCAAATCCGAAAATATAAAAGATCACGATCTGAAACTTGGCAATTATTTAGGCTTTAATTTGTGCATTAATAATTTCTAAACCTATCGATATCACTAACCGCAACTGAGTTATGACCTGTTTTTATAGCGTGAAGTTGTAGGAATTTTTTTAAAAAGGGATACTAAAAATTATGCCAAAGTGTGGTGCGTTAATTGGTCCTCCAGAATCTTTAAACTGCATATCAACGGAATGAACCGTTCGAGATTTATAAGCAAAACAAAAAAGTATTGGCACTTTGCCAAAACCAAAAATAAAAAGTATCATGTTTTGAAACTTGGCAATTATGTAGTATTCAATACGTACATTAACAATCACCAAACCGGATATCGATATCACTAACCAATACCGAGTTATAACCGTTTTAAAAACGTTAAGTTGGCGGAAATATTTAAGCTGTAGGAACGATTTGGGGATCAATTACCGAAACTTATATCATTGTATAGCCCGTTAATTGATCCTAATTGATCTTCTATCCGGAAAGCAGCGGAATGAATCGTTACTGAGTTATGAGCAAAATAAGAAAGTGTTGGCACTTTGCCAAAACCAAAAATATAAAAGATCACGATCTGAAATTTGTCAATTATTTAGGCTTTAATTTGTGCGTTAATAATTTCCAAACCGGATATCGATATCACTAACCGCAACAGAGTTATAACCTGTTTTTATAGCGTGAAGTTGTAATAATTTTTTTTAAAAATGAGGATCAATTACTGAAATTTATGCCAAAGTGTAGAGCGTTAATTGATCCTCCAGAATATTTAAACCGCATACCAACGGAATAAACCGCTCGTGAGTTATGGGCAAAATAAAAAAGTGTTGGC